ATGTACTAGAAAATTTTTCAGCAATTTCATAAATTATAAATATATTATTAAACTATAAATACAAAATTAAGATCTAAAAAATCTTAAAAATATAAATGAATAACAACCGTTGGGTGGTAGAATATCCTAGAATATCCAAGTATATTCTAGGTATATCCACTCCTACAGGTTTGCTTAAGCAAACCAAAAACTATAAATTTTTGGGTATTATCATTAACCTTTACTAGAATAAATTAACTATAATTTTATTGTTAATATCTTGATAAATATATTCATTACTAACTTCTTCACACACTATTATATTAGAAACAATTAGCTTATTATAATGTGTTATATCTCAAATAGTTGATGGAAATGCTAATTATCTTTAAAAACTACTAAATAGTTCATCTGAATTTCACCCAACAATTTTCACTACTAACATTCCTTATTTGCAATGAAATTAGATGTTGTATTGACATTATAAACTTTTTTTGTTTAGTAAAATTCGTATGCATTGTATATCATCTATAGGAATTGCAAAGAAGTTATAATCAATAAAATTTCAAAATACAACCTGGACATCTCAAGAAAAAAGGACCTAATCCAACATTTGTAAACCTCTGATTATTTTTATTTTAAGTATGAGACTCCAGGGTTCTCACATTTGGTGGAGATTTTAGGTAGTTTTTTGTCTAAGAATATATTTTAAAATTCCTTGAAAAATTAATCTAGTGTCACAACCTTGATAGCTGTATATAGACTTATTACATCAATTGTGTCATACAAGACTCTTTGGACCAGTTACTCAAACATAAAAATTTACTGTCATCCTAATCCTTGATCAGCAAAAGTTAATTACTAAAGATTATATTGTTGTTGGATAAATTTTGTTATCTTGAAAACTTGAAGCAATGCGTATTAAAATATAATTTAGAATGCTCCTAAATATATTTGGACTAAGAAAAAAAGGATTTCTAATTTAAATCACACTGGGACAGTAGCTGAAATATAGGGTGGTGCCAATACTGATGAAGCTAATATGATGCTTAATCCCATGCTGCTAATATAAAAACTTGTAAACTCAAAGAATATTTTATTATGAGGCTCGAGAGGGAGTTATTATGAGGGCTCAAGATCAAAGTGTTCTTTGTTCAAAGATCTAGCTAGTTTAGTATATTCAAAAGCTTGTAAACTGTATATATTATGAAACTCCAACAATTTTGGCATGATTTTGTTAATCCAACCTATGATAATTAATTATATTTTTCAGTGAATATTAATATTTAATTTTCTAACTCAAACATAATATAAAATCTTAGAAAAAATAGGATACTTGATCATTTATTTTATTGGCTCCAATTTGCATAGGGTGTATGGAACAGGAATCTTTGAATTAAACTCATGAGTGTAGATTTCACATGGCGGACCCAATAAAAAAAAGTACGGGTACCCTATTTTTTATATTGTGTTTTATTATGCTTGAGTTGAAAATTAATTTATATTTTCGAATATTAATATTCACTCCCAATAAGTGATTAAAGTAAGTTAGAAAAGATAATTAATTAACATTACTATTGTTGTTTTTATTAGATATAAAATTAATTACACAGTCTTATGGTAAGCCTTAAATGAATTTGCGTAGCTGGATAAATATCCTACCAAAATTGTACTAATAAATTTGGTGTCTCATAATAAAATATTCTATGAGTTTACAAGTTTTTATATTTGGGATTAAAACTCCTTATATGTTTAAGGGCTTAAAATCAAAGTGTTCTCTGCAAAGATCCAAGCTGTTTGAAAACTTTCAGATTTTTACAAGTTTCATTAAAATCATCTTAATGGAGTGGGGAGCCCTCACCTTTAGAGGGCAAGAGGCCATAGTGGCAACATCATTCCCCACAATGGTCAGCATTCTGATATTAATTTCCAATGCTATTAATAACATGGATACTAAAAAGTATGAAACTTAGGTTGCTGCTTTAAAAATCTAAACGATTGGCAAATACCAAACATAAACTCCCTTTTTATTAAGCTAAATCTAGTTTAGAGCAAAAAGAAACCAAGCGTATATCCAAGGGGTGAAAAGATATTTTAGCACAGGATACGTTTAGGGCTCTTGAGGTGAGCATATTTTCTCCTGTGGTCTCTAGAGGTTTCTAAACATTGGTGCGTAGATGGCGAGCGCGAGCACCAGCCTAACTGCGCTCACAGCCCTCAATTCCACCTTCCTCTCCGGCTCCAATTCGGCTTCTCCGCTGGGACTTAGCTTCCCCAAGCGAAGGCAATGGCGGCACAAGAGCTGTGTGCGCACCTCCGCAATGGCCAAGGAGCTTGTCTTCAACAAGGACGGCCAAGCCACCAAAAGACTCCAGGTTTGCAGAAAAGCTTCCTCTCTCGGATTGGCATTGGGCCATTGGCGAGTTTTTCTTATCGACTTTTTGCGAAACAGGCTGGAGTGAACAAGCTCGCGGATCTTGTTGGAGTGACTTTGGGTCCCAAAGGAAGGAATGTCGTCCTCGAGAGCAAGTATGGTTCTCCAAAGATTATCAACGATGGTGTCACGGTGACCAAGGAAGTATGTGCCTTGTCTTTCTTGTTGATGCTGTGGTTTGCTGATGGAAATGTATTTTAGATTGAATTGGAAGACCCGGTTGAGAACATTGGTGTGAAACTCGTGAGGCAAGCTGCTTCTAAAACCAACGATTTGGCTGGGGATGGAACGACGACTTCCTTGATCCTGGCACAAGGATTGATTGCCGAAGGCGTCAAGGTTTTTTCTCGTTTTTCTGTTCTTCCAGATTCATTAAGCCTTCTGCTTGGCTGTAGGTTGTGGCTGCTGGCTCGAATCCTATTCAAATCACGAGGGGAATTGACAAAACCATCGCAGCTCTGGTGAAGGAGCTGAAGGAGATTTCGAAAGAGGTTTGCTTTTCCGGATTCCAAGTTGTACGTCAAGTGAAAAAAGTCTCTTTTCAGGTCGAGGATAGCGAGCTCGCAGATGTTGCTACGGTGAGCGCCGGGAACAATGACGAAGTGGGCAAAATGATAGCCGAGGCCATGAACAAAGTCGGGAGGAAAGGCGTTGTCACTTTGGAAGAAGGCAAGAGTGCCGAGAACACACTGCACGTAGTCGAAGGCATGCAGTTCGAGCGTGGCTATATGTCTCCCTACTTCGTCACGGACACTGACAAGATGGCCGTAGAGTACGACAATTGCAAGGTAAAGATCTGTTTTTGGTTCTTGCTTGCTCCCGTGCTGATGAAGAGATGCATGCGCAGCTCCTCCTGGTTGACAGGAAGATTGCTACTGCGAGAGACGTGATTGGAATCCTGGAAGATGCAATTCGCGGGGGCTATCCCCTTATGATTATGGCCGAGGAGATCGAGCAAGAAGCACTTGCAACTCTGGTTGTGAACCGGCTTCGTGGCTCTCTCAAGATTGTGGCCATCAAGGCCCCAGGATTTGGAGAGAGGAAGACGCAGTATCTCGAGGATATTGCCATCCTCACTGGAGGTAAGTAGAGTTTTTTTTGTTTTCCAGAGGCTTGTGCTTATCGATTTGTACATCGTAGGCACGGTTGTGCGGGAAGAAGTTGGGCTGTCTTTGGATAAAGTTGGCCGTGAAGTCCTTGGGAATGCTGCAAAGCTGGTGGTAACAAAGGATTCGACGACAATTGTCGGGGATGGAAGCACACAGGAGGCCGTCACAAAGCGCGTTACTCAAATTCGCAACTTGATGGAGGTGTTGTTATTTCTATTCTCTGTCACGAAGCTAACTTATGTTTGTAGGTTGCCGAACAAAGCTACGAAAAGGAGAAGCTGAACGAACGTATTGCCAAATTGTCCGGTGGAGTTGCAGTTGTGACTGTAAGACATCGCTTTTTTTGCCGTTTCCGGAAAAAATTCTTCTGACATTGATTCGCGCAGGTGGGAGCTCAAACGGAAACCGAGCTGAAAGAGAAGAAGCTTAGAGTGGAGGACGCTCTAAATGCAACAAAGGTAATATACCGGTCTTGTCACCCGTTTTTTCTGCAATTCCTCGCTTTTCGCAGGCTGCTGTTGAGGAAGGCATCGTTGTTGGTGGAGGCACAGCTCTTTTGAGGCTGTCGAAGAAAGTGGATGCCATCAAGGAAACGCTTGAAAACCAGGAGCAAAAGGTAAGGATATAGCGCAATCGCCATCTCTTTGACAAGTTTGGATGAATCGCTTGCCAGATTGGCGCAGACATTGTCAAGCGCGCCTTGGGCTACCCGATCAAACTCATCGCCAAGAATGCAGGAGTGAACGGGAGTGTGGTCGTCGAAAAGGTTGGCAAAACTTCGTTTTCATGTGTAGCGAAGCGCGCTTACCGACTTGCATGCATGGATTTTCCAGGTTTTGGCCAATGATAACTTCAACTTTGGCTACAACGCAGCCACGGGAACCTACGAGGATCTCATGGCTGCAGGAATTATCGATCCCACAAAGGTAAGAAAAAAGAAGAAAAAAACACTCGAGTTTCAAGTAGAAAGCGATAAATTTTCTCTTGGTTGTTTCGTTCTCTCAGGTGGTGAGGTGCTGCCTTGAACACGCGGGATCAGTGGCCAAGACCTTTCTTACGTCGGACGTTGTGGTAGTAGACATCAAAGAAGAGTTTATTCCCACTGGAGCTGCGCAAGGAATGGCCATGGACAATTCAGGTACATTGTCTCTTCTTTCCTTTTGTTTTTGGTTTTTGGGCTATTGTGAGTGATGGAATCTCTGGGTTTTGGCTGCAGGCTATCCTCCTTACTAAGCAGGATCCACACATTTTGTTTCTATCGTGATTTTTTTTTTTTTTTTGTTGTTTTCTTTGGTACGTGCGGAAGAAGTATCAAACAAGTTTTGCGAGCAAAGCAAAAACAGCAGTTCTATTGCAGTTCTATTGTAGTTCAGTTTCATAACGGCCTTGAATGGAAAGATTTTTGTTTGAAGTGAATGAAGAGAAACTTCAACACCTTTTTTTTGGATGAGGAAAATGTTGGTGAATTTTCATAGATATTTTAGACACAATGTTTTTAATTTCTGCTTCAGGAGAAACTTCAACACATTTTTGGATGAGAAAAACAATTTCATAAATATTTTTTAGACAAAAAGAAAAACCGTTAAAAAATTTTGTGGTGAGTGTACATGCCTGTCTTTTTTTGTTGGTTGTGGTGACAAAGGTTCCTCTTCTGGACCAACATTGGAGATCACAAGAACAAGGAATCACCACCCTGCTGATATTTCTTCTGCAAAACCATTCCATCCTCAGATCTCAACCTTCATGTGCCCTGTGGGTAGCTGCACTGAGATTTGTGAAAAACAGAGTCAGAACCAATTTGGAAAAGATCCACAGCCAAGATTCCAACCTTGCAGCTCCTGAGATAGTGCTCCAAAGCTCATCTGGACAACGCTTTGCAACTCGCCGTCCCAGACACTAGACGCCTGGAAGAAAAAGAAGAAAGAAGCATATGAGCTTTTTGCTGGAAGGAGATAAGTAAGGACTTACTTGAGATGCCGCATCTGTAAAGCCACCCTCCCCTGGAGCCCGGATTGCATTCTCCACTGTGCTGCTCAAGGCCCTGAGATCGAGGCCGCAACTTCCCAGTTGCATTACGGCCGCTTGTGCCTGCTGGAGCTGCTGGAGGTGGGAGTATGTGGAGCTCATGTCATGGTTTAGAACAATGGGTGAAGTGGATCCACGGCCTTGGAGCACCTGTAAATGCAATCAGTAAGGCTGGCATCGGGATGGTCGTATGTGATCCAAGCTCACCTCTTTGGTTAGTAGGCCGTCCAAGTTGATGTCTAGCCTGGGATTTACCGCGGCTAACTTCATGGAGAGGAACTGTGGAAGAGAAAAGCGTAGCTTAGTTCCAATGATCCACTAGGTTACAGTTGAGAGACCACCGTACCTCGACTTGGCGCTGTAGAGATTGGACGTAGTTGATTATCTCGTCGAGCATGACAGCTTTACCGGTGACCTGAAGAGAATAAACTTGCGTTAGAGTTTTTCTCTTGTCCTACATTATTATGTAAACAGCACCTTGCTGCAACCTGGTACCAAGTCCTGCAGAAACTTCATTCGCTCGCTGATCTTCTCTCTTCGAACCTGTACGTGCATTAGTTCATGTTAGATTAGATTCTCGCCGCACTACATGCAGAAACAAAAAAGAGATATACTCACTCTTTCGGCAAGGCTGTGGCTGTCAGTTGCTTGGCCTCTTCGAGCTCTCACATGAATGTAGTCTTGCTTCGGGGGCTCCGGGGGCTTGGAGTTCTCTTTTACGGACTTTGGGCTCGAGCTGCCAGAGTTTTCACTGCTACTCCTCTCCGTCTTTGTTTTAGCCTCGTCCTTTTCCTTGGACCCCTCGGATGCCTTTTGGCGCTTGACTTTTGTCTCTTCGCCTTCGGGGTTCTACACATCCACAGAAACGTTACAAAGTTAGCCTATATTCGTTCTAGCCACTCACGCATCATTCAGAAATGCAGTACCTTTACGTCTCTCCGGATTGGAGTATCCTTGCATTTGTCTTCGCTGGTCTTTCTCTTTTTGTTGCCTTGCTCCATTGAATTCTGTGCGGAGCTGAAAGAATCCTCCTTGGTGGGACTTGAGCCAGTTTCCTGGGAGACTTTATGGAGCTTGTTGAAGAGCTTGCCCTCGTCTAGCGCATTTTTCACGGCCTCATCCGCCGCATTATTGTCGCCTCTCATACTCGACGTCCTGGACAGCTTGTTGGGACTTTGCTGCCCGTACCCGCCACCGCTGTGGAACGACGAGTACCTGGCAGCACGCTCCGCAAAGCCAGGATCAGCTGGAAAATCCGCAAAGCATTGCGACGAAATCCCTTGGAGAGCAAGGCCACCCTTTGAAGGATCCACTGTCAAGCTCAGGCCATTCGACGTCGCCCAGGCATTCGAGGGAGCCCTCTCTATCCCTTGGCTCGGGCTCGACGCCAGCGAAGAAGGCCCATAAGTTAAGTTGCTGCCGGGATGCTTGCTAGCCTCGGAATTACTCGCCGAGACGACTGCGTTGCTGGCCGGCATCGCCGACGAGAAGGAGATGCTTGGGTCGACAAACTGATGCCAGTCACCGCTGCCAATGGCGTTCAGAAACTCGGGGCCGAAAGCGCTACCTTCCGCCCCCGGCGCTGCTGCCCCCATTGGCCACGAAACCGGGCAGTCGGTCGATGGATAGCTCGAGTCCATGAAGTACTTGGATGATGATAAATCCGCGCCAATAGTACTGGAGAGTGGGACTGAGCTCCTCATATACGAGAATCCTTTGTGCTCTGACGACGAAACGTGAGCCATGGCCATATAGGAGGAGGAGGAGGAGGCACAAAGCAACTAACCAAGCTCAGCTCTCCAAGCGGATGCTCCGAGCTAGCCTTCACAACTCTTGAATCGCTGATGCGTTGCAGTCATTCACCCTGTGTCACCCAAGTCAGAAGCGTGGAAAAAAAAAAAACTAAGCTTTCATCAATGCCAGAGAACCAGTTTCCAAGATCAAATTGGGAACACGACACCAAACAAATGTAAGCACTCCAAATTTGAGAATGGAACAGTTCTGTTCACTGATTCTAGACAGCTCTCGGGAGCCAACACTAACAAACAATTCACAGGCGAGAAATAAGATATGGCAACGAAAGCAATCGTCGCGGCGGCAAAGTAGCGAAATCCACACACAATGCAGGTCCCAATTCACACGGCCAGGCACGAGAGAAGGCCATGCCATCCAAACTCGGGAAAAAGATCGAGAGAAGGACGAAGTACCTGTCGAAAGATCCGTGAACATATTTTGGATCGATTCCACAATGCCGGTTCGCGGCGCTACCCCTGGGGCCGAAATGCGGGAGAAATCGCCGAAATGCGGGAGAAATCGTGGACGAGAGCCGAATATATCCAGGAAATCCACAGCCGCGGGAGCTCCCGGCGATGAATCAAGCTCGAATCAAGACGACAGACCTCGATAATCTTGGCGCAAGCCGCCCGTCGAGATCGTCCACCACGGGGGGCGCAAAAGGGCCTTCTCAAAAACCCTGGAAATGGGGGAGGGCCTTTAACGAGTTCTTCCACAAAGACACGCATAGCCCAGCCCTCGCTTTTGTGGCTCTACCAGTACGGCACCGCCGCGAGCATCCCGGCGCCCGTACAAACGAATATTCCGGGACGTCCGTATATGTTGACCGGTCTCATTGATTGGCCGGAAATGCGGAACGCCCGCGACAGCTGCCTACGTGGCGGGCGCCCATAAGCGCCATGTCTGTCGGAATGCATCCAGTGGCGTGGGGCCACGTGTCAGAGCTTGCCACGTTGCGTCTTTTAATGGAAGGGGGACCGCACGCGGGAGGGCGGGTTCGAATCCGGCACGCCTCACTGCGAGCGATTAATGTGCAATGCAACAATGTACAAAGGTTTAATCAAAACAATTTCCATCCTTTCTTGTTTAATATTCTCATTGTTTATCAATACTAAATTCTTGTTCTACCATCGTTACCCTTCCTGCTTGGCTTTTCTATGTTCCTGCCCATGGCTCAAATGCATGAATGCCTTTAAAAAACTGGGAAATACTGGAACTCCTATGTGAGTATCTCACATGGACAATCCAACCCATTGGAGTTATGGAATTTGTCCTTTGGCAATTTGATCCAGACAGTATCTTCCGTAGCGATAGCATTCTCCCGCGAATATTCCTTCGGCAGTTAGCGGGTTTAACTACGTTAAACAGTAACCGCCATTTCAATCGCAGCCGTCAAATATCGCTTTCATCTGAAAAAAAGTGGCGCCTTTTACCTGGTGACTTTACCATTTTTACTTACGTGTACAATTCCTAGGGGTGGGCCCGGACAGTCTGACATGGCTGTCGGCTATGTGGCAAGGCCAGTGGCCAAATTCAAGCGGGCTTTGGGCCACCCGGGCTCACGTGTCAGCCCTTCACGTGACCTGGGGCCAATTATAAGCTACGAGGTCCGCTGACGTCCGCCGGACTGCGTCAGCGCAATACCCGGCTTTACCGCATCGCCATGTCATATGCGCGCCAGCAAGGCCCGCGCACCTCCACGTCGCCTCCAGCTCATGGCCGACGTGTCGGGCGCGCCTCTCGAAAAGATGGGGGTTCGATTCCCCCTCTCTCTCTGATGACGTCCTTCTCACACACGTCACTCTCCCAGTGGGCTTTTTTGCTTGTACACATACACAGTGGACCCAGCCAAATGGCTAAATGGCCTCTGCCACGCTGGCAGCAAAATGCCGGGGGCAGTACCGGGCAAAGCCGCTTGAATGCCAGCATTATCGAGGCCTGGCCAGTCTTTGTCCGGGGCCCCGGTCAAAATCTCGCCTTGTCACGTCAGCGGCAGAAGGGAGAAGGGAAGGCACGCGTGGGAGACGTATGGGCGTTATTGTAAAGAAATACCAACTCACACTGCCCTAAAGAAATTGTCCCTTCTTTCCCTTTTCTTTTATCTACTTGGTCTGGCGGTCAGTGACGCGTACGAATGTATGTGCATGGGAATACACTTCTATATACAGTTATGCTACGCTGCTGGACGTGTATGTGGCCATGGAAATACATTTCCACATACAGCCATACCTTCCTCTCTCTCCCTAGGGACAAGAGAAAAAACTTCCTCCCCAACTGCAGCAGATGCCTCAACTTGGCAATTGATGGGAAGTGGGGACTTTGTCTCTCACAGTGGGGACTGTTTGCATTTGTGTATAGGGCTGCTGTTTCTGGGGCTTTCTGATCACCACATTCAATCTCCTCCCAATGTGGTCCAGGTAAAAACTTGTTTGCATACTCTTGGAGGATAAGCAGGATAGATTCTTCTGAGTGGGGTGATTAGTTGCTGGTTTCTCAAGAGAGAAATCTATCTGAGAAAGGCAGGAAGGGGGAGGGAGAAGATCAAGCATCATTTCAGATATGGATTGCTCATCCACCACCCTGACAAATGCCACCCTCCCTTTTTTCTTCACTAGAAAAAAAGATAAAAACAAAGAGGGGGAGGGGCTAGCAGTGTAAGGGCCATTTTTCTTTTTATTAGAAGGAATGATGGACCCCTCCAACATGGGACCAAAATCTTTGTCCTCCAAAGGTCCCCAGTTGCCCCCACCTAGGGCAATTTGTCAATATTTGTTGTTCCTGTTTTCTAGCCTTGCTTTGCTTTTACCCAGAAGAAAGAATTGGGGGGGTGATGGAGGTATGGGACCAACCAAAAGCCAGCAACAACAACATTTATAAAAATCATATACATGTATATAGTTCTCTAACAAACTCTATCATTGCTTTCTTTGTTTGTTATTTATTTGACTGGCTCTCTCCTCCCTCCGTGCCCCCAAGGCCCGTTCCACAAAACTGAAGAAAAAGGAGATTGTCCTGTTGATCTATGATCTAGCTATTTTTCTGCTTTGTGCATTATTCCCTCCCCTCTTTTCTCCTTCAAGCTGGTACTCAATCATGAAAAGACTCCACAGCAACTCAATACTGCTGGCTGGCTGGCTGAGGGGTACTTGGGAAAAGTCCTAAAGTTCTAACCCCTCCCTCAAAAGAAAACAAAAAAGAAAAGAGTGAGACAATGGTTAGGATTCAAAATGATGTGCTTGTCTTTGTGTGTGTGTTTTGCATAGCTGTGCATTCCTCATCTTGTCTGGCTTAGGTCTCAAGTAACACACACAGACACAAATCAAGATGTATCAACAGTAGAGCTGTGGAGACTTTGTTGATAAGCTCGTGTTGGTTTATACATCTTTTTCCTCAGCTGTATGAAAACAAAGGGGCAACCAACTGAGAACAAAGTGCTCCTTGCAAATTGCACCCCACAGCAAACAATCTGCTGGTGCTGTGGTTGTAAAGAGCTCTCCCCTTTCCATTGTCAGTAGATTTCTTCGAGTCTGGTGAAAGAATCACATCACTTTTTTCCCCTTTTCTTTTTTTTTTTTAAGAAGGGGAAAAATGCAAAAATTAAAAGTGTGGATTTCAGTGGGATTTTAGCTGGTTTTTGTTGTGCCAGCCACCAGCCAGCATCTTTGTGGCTTGTCTACACTACTGCAAAACGAATGAATCTCACAATCAGCCCTCAAACTCCATCCGGCAAGACCAAGCCCCGTGTCAACTTTTGTTTTAAAAGCACGTCATACTCAAGCAGAAGAATTCCAACGCTTAACTAGACACCGATGTGGTAGCAACGCCCAGAATCCCCTTTCAGACCAGTAGACAGGATTCTCACCAATATCTTCTCTTTGATATATAGTTGACATCGTTTTCTCCTTCAACATAAAAGTTGGCGGTCATGCTTTCCCTTCGTTAAACGGGCTCAAATTCTCGACTTTTAAAAAATGTGATGCCTTGTCTTGGTCTGAAGTACACGCGCTTCGCAGTAGCTGGCCGGATCGGCCAAATAAAAATCGCTACAATATAGTATTATCGGGAAGAAGTGGGATCTTCGTCCTCTTAAAACGTACAGGGTGGTGGGATTTCCTCTCCAAAGTTTCCTCACGCGGAGGAGGAAAGAATCATTGGGAACAAGGTGGCGGAGCACTTGTTTTATGCGCTCGAGATTCGCTCGAGCCGAGAGAGCTCTAAAGAGCCTTGCCTTTTCTTTTCTCCTCCTTCCCGGATGGATGTTCTAACGCTTTTGTATATTACTTGAAAACTCCCAAATGCAAGCCAGAGCGTCCTAGGCCAAGATCTTGTACACCCAACACTCAGATCTTGTGGCTTATTCTAAGCATCTTTGTGATCGAAGTGTCGACACCGGAAAGAAAGAGATCCAGTGCCGCAAGGAAAGCTCAAACTAGTCGTCGATATAGTTTTGTAAGCCAACTTTCCACTGGGGTTCAATCTAGACCATTCTTTGTTGTATATATAACTAATAATCTAGATTATACAAGACAATTTATATATGAATCAACGGTCTTTTGTATCTCCACTTGATCACAAACTATAATAATTTTAAATAATAACTTAGATTTTGTTTGTGTGGCTCTTGCAAGCACTACGTAAGACAATTGCCCCCGTTTTCCATATCGTTCTCGTTTTGCTGCCAAACAATCTTCCATCCAGCCGGGAGTAAGTTGGTGCTTAGCTTTCAGTCATCAAAGCCTGATGGATACGAGATAATATACTCTTCTCTCCAATCCTTCTTTTAAGAGCTTTGCTGGCTTGTGGTGTGATGTTTCTCTACAGCTCTACTTTACATTGTCGAGATCATTGGCGTTGCACCCATCGCTCGATCGCTGGATGGATCACACGGCTCATGATTACACGCCCAAAATTCCACCTTGTGAAAGAGACTCTGTAAGATATGCTTTCACACAATGATAAGGAAGGAATTCTTATATCTCGCTTTGCTCCAGGTTAAGCTTGGAGGTTTTAATGAAACCATGTGCCAAGGATCATTAAATCCGTGACGGTTAAGTTTTAAAACCTCGATCCTCGATCGATCGCTTTCCTGGCTTGGGCTTTCGTACTGGGTTCTCGCTATACTGTTTTTCTTTGATCGCGAGATAAAAAAACCATGTGGTTGTTCGAGTGTTTCATCCTTGCTGATTCTTCTTGTACTGGCTGCCATTGTGTCGCTTTAGTAGAACGAGGGGAAAAAAAATGGAGAGAAAACGAAATTTAAACTGGAAGCTTAACTTGTTCTTGCTCTCTTGCAACTGGCACGATCGAAGGTCATTGTTTTGAGAGATTCCCTTCTTTACAGCTGAACTAGCCCCGCACCATCCACCAAGATTTTCTGTGAGCTGGTTGTTTCGAGAGTACAGTCGCAACCTATCTGGAGAGCTAGATCCTGCAGGCACTCGAGATCCCACTAGTAAAAACTTTGAGCACCAGAAACTTTAAGAAAAAAGTGATAGCACACTCACAGGGACAAGACGATTGCAGCCACTTGGAGACCACCTGGAACAAAGGAATTCGATACTCAAAACGAGAAACCAAACAAAAGGAAGGGAGTAAAAAGAAGATTCTCACCTCTGTAATGAGCTTGTCCATTTTCATTTCGAACGGAGTAGTGTTGCCGCTTTGGGATTGCTGCAATGGCACCACCGCCACCACCTCGTCTTTAGTTTCGCTCAAAATTTGAGAGTTATCTGACACCTTGCCGGTAAAACCACCTTCCAAACTCCTGCAAGTGTTCCTCTCTCCGAGTTAGAAGAAAGAAAAAAGAAAAGCCTTTAAGCGAGTAAGTTACCTTGAAGTCTGGATTTCCGCATCGTTGAAATTCCTCTCACGGCCCGAGTTTAGAGTTGACAATCCCAGCGCTCCAAAGTCGTCGCCTCGGGGGAAATGAGGAGCATAAGTTTGGTACCGCGCGGGCTCGAGAATCTTCTCCAGACGACGAGACAGATCTTTGCGTGACGGTGTTTGGCAGTACTTTGACAATTTAGCTCCCTCGATGAGAAACTCGATGGCGGACTTGATCACAGCATCCTCTCTCTCTCTCCAACGAGCAGCCTGAAAGTTTTCACCCAAGAGACAGGAAAAAGTAAATGTAAGATAGCGTAACCAAAGTTGACTTACCTGGATATCAGCAATAGTTTTGTCTCGAGACACCAGACTGCGCGCCATTGCCGAAGCTACAGCAAGAAAGTAAACAAACACGGAATTCGTCGCCCTAAGACTCGAAACTAAAGTATATTCATTTGCCGGTCCAGAATATGCTCCCAGCAAGAGAAAAACGTACCACTTGCTATAGAGGAACTTTCAGTGTGGCAGAGCCATTTCGAGGATCTGCAAGCTGCAAAACAAAATCTTGAGATGAGTTTTGGAGACTTTTCGAGTAAAAACACTTCATTCTTACCTTACGGACATGAGAGCCATGCCAATGAAGACGGCAGTGACTGCTCGTCGATGACCAGCGTACTCGAAGGCTAGAGGAAGCATTTCGTGAAGCGTAAGAAAAGCCATGACACCGCCGACTGTAAGATTAAAGGACGAAGAGTAAAGTCCACTACGTTTCTGCATTGCAAAAACAAAACGACACAAATCTTACCACCTCCCAATAATCCTTCTAAAACGTCCGTAGAGAGACCGGAAGGAAAGAGTGCCGCTGTAAGCAAACACAAAAAGAGTAAGCACGTTTTGCTGTTCTTCCTTTCAAGCAGTGAAAAAAGAATAAAAATTTTCTTACCAACAATTATCACTCCGAGCGGCTCCGCGAAGCCAGACAATGCTGCAAGTTTGAAGCTCTGCCACTTGCTAGGAGCAAAAATCAAAGAGACAATGAGAAATCCTTGTTCTTTCCAGCACTAATGAATACCTGTTGGTTGCAAAATAAATCGGCAAAGCGACGGCAATTCCCTGTTAAACAAACTGTTGAGCAAAAGAAAGAACCATAACTTAAATTACCTCTGGGATGTTGTGCAAAGCAATGGCCAGGGCTAAGCTTATGCCAACTCGAATGCCCTGAAATGTAGCAACGCGTAAGGTTGGAAGTTTTTTCAATAAGCGGTAGTGTTTCATACCTTCATGGACCCAAGGAACACAGCCATTCCCTCAGGAAAATTGTGCAAGCTTATTCCTGCCCAAAACTTAAGACGAATGTAAACTTCTCTTGTGAGCGCGAGAGAACAGGGAGTACCTATAGCCGTGATTATGCCACTGAAGAGAACCTGCTTGCGGTGCTTTTTCATCACATCCTTGTCACTGCCATTTCTATCCTACAAATGCCACACAAAGTTTGAAGATGAAAAACATAAGAAAAAATAGAACCTCAGAGCTGGAAGTTTTTGTGATGGAAGCCATTGAAGGCTCAGGAACAAACGTAACTATACCAGCAAAGAGCACAACCCCTCCAAAGAACTGACCAGGGAGCAAACCAGAGAGAAGATTAGAAAACGAAGAAAGAAAAGAACGACTTACCCAAAGATTTGCTCTAGCAAAGCCAAGGTTGTTTATAGCGTTATACATGAGGTCTAGAAATGACAATGTGAGCATCAAGCCTGCTGCAAGCCCCTACATTTGAAGGAACAATGGCTCTTCAAGTCCACAAGGAAAGAATTTAAGGATCTTACTTGCAAGAGGCCGAGGCGATTGAGATTGGGAGCCGGATACAGGATCACGAGCAACGCACCTATCAAAAGGGAGGAGAGAATGGTAGCTAATCCAGAAGAATGTTACAAACCTAGGGCAGTGCTTGCTCCTCCAACCATGGACAGCGCCAGGGCGACTGGAACCGATCCAGTAGCCATTTTTCTCATAAACCCTAATGTGCCATAAGTTTTAAAATGAAATTAAGGGGCATCAAATCAGAAACATTAAGTTAAAGGTTATTAACCATATCTTGCTTCAAACTCATTGGCTTTATTACTATTAAATACTATAGAGGCATTAGAAATACTTCCATATATAACTTTTTGGTCAGAATACTTTTATATAAAATGTTATATGATTTTTATATTAAAATTTTAAATATATGACTTTACTATAAAAAATTCTGGAAGATTGGAGCCACTTTCGCAACTAATCCATAGTTTTATTTTATAGAACTATTTTGTGTTTTTAATACTATAGTGAACTTGCTAATAATTGCAAAATATTTAAAACTTTAAAGTATATATATTTAATAAATATTTAGTTGTGTGATAATAGATAATGCGAAGTGGTAGAAGACTAGACAAGTTGTTTGCACTTTGGGACCAAATACAACTCGAAAAGCAAGAAAAAAAAATTAATTAAAGAAGAATTAACAAGGAAAACATACATTGCCAACGTTGCCTCGAGTGTGTCTGCCTTCTTTTACCATCCGAAATTCTTCATCTCACACAGCCCAAATGCCTTAAAGTAGTATTTCAATGGCTACAGTTGCAAAAAAAAAAAAAAAAAGGAAAAAATAAGAAAGTAGTAAAAACACTAACCATATTACAAAGTCATGATAAGTTGAGGTTTCAAACTTTGACTGACTTGAGATAGCGTCGATAATAGTTGTCTTGGAGTAACTGCTTTTGAATCTTTTTTTAATTAACGCAAGATCAAAAAATAAATCAACTAACAAAAAACAAATTTACATAAATTTTTTTTAATGCTTATACATATATAATCCTTAAACATTAAGAAATTAATTTGTATTTAAAAATGTTTAGATAGAATTATAAAGATAAATATCTTTTTAATTTTCTCTTATATACAAAATTATTTATATAGTTATATTATTCAATAAAACTTCAAGAATATGGAAATAATAAATTAAATATATAAATCTTGAAAAGCTTGGTTACCTATTTTCATGCATTGCTTTACCATTTCCATAATACAAACTCAATATGGTATTCTGATATATATAAATAATTATCCAACCCAATAATCACTAGTACAATATAAAAGATATGGACCAAAATGCCAGCAATTTAATGGAAATTAAACAGATTTGAATGAAAAAACGCAATGTGATTTATGAAAAAAAATCCTAGAGATGTGAAGTAATATAAAATTTTAATAACCAACAATAATTCTAGTATGAGATGATGTATTATTGTATACTCATATATTTTTTATTTATAAATTTTATTAAACTTTAAAGTTTATTTTATAAATTCATCAAATTATTTTTCCGAGACTCATCTACATATATTAGATGTACTAATTATATAAAAGCCTATTCTATAATTTCTTTAATTTTTATTCCCACTTTAATCTTCTTTTCCTCGATTCCACAAACCCACCAGTATGGAGTCTAATATAATCTGTATGTATGTATTTATATGTCAGATATGATGAAAGAAAAACAAAATCAAGACTCGCCTGTGAAAAATGAGCTGCAATGCATGGTAATACAAGCAGCCCACTGCCTTCTCCAGCCTTCAAAGTTTCCACCACTGCAACGCTAACAGGCAGTGTTTTCTGCGATAAAAAAACTCAACTTCGGAGAAACCCCAATCTCGTGAATAACACTACCTGGCTTGCAACAAGTATGACTGCTCGGGAGGATGCTTCGTCATCTTCCTTTGAGCCTGTTTTTATTAGTGATACGAGGAACATGTTTACTGCCAGGAACATGAAATGCAAAGCACTGCAACGAGGAAAACTATAAGAAATCATGAAACCATCTTAAAGCGAACTTACATTCCCAGAAAGAGTGCCGCAATCAAGTTTCTAGCATCCAATTGTAAGAGCAAAGACCTCGAAGAACTTATTTGCATCCAAGGTACCTACAAGCAATGGTAACATGAATGCGAAAAAGAAAGACAAAAACAGAGATCGACTTAAGAGAATCAATACCGAGCTAAGCAAGAGAGCGCTCGCAAACGAGATCTCCTCGCGGTGTCTGTCAATGGACTTGTGTCACGACAAGTTAGAAAAAGCAAACGATTGAGGTTTCGACTTTAGTACCTCCGCGGGATGGTAGAAGCAGAAAACTTCTCTTAGCAGCTTTCCAATCGCGAAAGGCAGCACCAGCGTCTGGACTAAGCTCCGGAAGAGCTTACTGGCAGGGAATTTGATCCCGAGCTTTCCAATCCACAGAGAAACTGATACTGGCATCTGCATCAGCTTAAGCAATTACTCGATCAAATGGTTAAAGGGAAAAGCTTGATTACCGTGAAGACTGCTAGCAAGTTGGACGATATCGTGAGCGCCAGTGCAAGTGCCTTGTTTGCTCCAGCAAGCTGGGAGCACATTTCAGACTTTAGTCTAAAGCTAAAGTCCAAAACAGCACAAGACTTTACCTGAGTGAGCGACACGCCAGTCGAGAGTGTTGTTGGTGCGCAGCAAAAGATTGCAAGGCCTAGCAATCACATTCGATCGATCCATCAAAGCTTTCAAATCAAATCAAAACTCAAAAGTGATAGAACTGTCATTACCAGTGACAAGCTCCTTAGGGTTTAGCTTGATTTGCATGACGAGCAAAGCAGCAGCAGGAGTAATAAACAGAATAGAAATCTAGAAAAAAGAAAGAAAGAAAGAAAGATCATAGAAAGCAGGAACAATGCATAGACTATGCTTTACCAGTCCTTGCAAGGCAAACGGCCATGCCTCAAGCGCTTTGTTGATATCCCCGTCCTGCAAAGTAAATCCTGAAAGTCAAAATAAGTCAAGTCAAGAAAAGTCAATATGGTCAAGTCAAAACGTCAATGCTGACCAGACAGGAGGAATATGCCCGCGGTGGCCCATCTCGAGAGGCCGAGGTGTTGAGCGAACTGTCCGGGCCTGGGCTCGAGCATTCCAATACTCATCCCACCAATGAGAGCTAGAGAGAACGAAGAAATCAAAGTGGAGATGATAGATCCAATCAAACTTACCCAGTGACACGAAGTTCTTGCTCACGAATCGCTTGATCTCTTGTCGAGACATTGATGCCGCGGCAATGACCCTGCGATTGAGCTTGGATTGCCGCTTGGATTGTGTCCATGGCCGCCCAGTGGCACCCACGAGTGAAACGCAGAGATTCTCCATACCTAAAAGGTTTTAGAAAAATAGGATGTTTGAAGATTCTTCCAAGAAGACAAATTACACTTTACTCTTTTTTATAAAAGTTTATTTTGAATATTTTGTCTAAATAGCACGAATAAAAACAGCCTTTCATCAGTAATTGGTCCAGTTCTTCGAGGGTTTTGTTCTTGACACTACGTTCTTCGAGGGTGAAGACAATACTAGAGCTTTGTTCTTGCCACTACAAGCACCACAAGCTGTTGAAAGAGCATTGGAAGTAAATATCTCTCACAGCTTGCTCGCGAAGAGCTGCTGTGGTGATTGATTTATAAAAAAAAACCAGGGCTCGAGCTTGCCACCAACGAGAAGAGGTCAAAGTCGAAAATAGATTCAACCAAACTTACCCAGTGAAACTAAGATATTCTCCAGATCTAAGAGATGTTTGAAAATTCTTCCAAGAACAATGAATGGACAAAACTTATTTCCTTTGGTTTATGTACAAGAATCTCTCTCGACCGAGAATCGATCTCTCGGTCGCCAACGCCAAGCTTGCTTGCTTCCCAAAGCTCTGGCCAGCAAGAAAGACGAAGAGAGAAAAAAAGAGTTCCAGATCCTCTCACACTGCCGCTAGATTGGAGGTGAAAGAGACGCCCTTGTAGCCCTTGTAAGCGTAGTAGGCTGTTCTTGACTGATAGATCCCGGGCATGAAAACGAGGCCGCCAAGCACCATGAACGCAATCCCTGTGATTTTGGTGAGATCTAGCGGATCTGACGCTGCCTGGCTAGGAATTGGCGAGATGCCTACCGTGAGCTTTGTCGCCCCCGACTCTGTGATACATCATGACTAGCCCCGCGACCATGGACACGCTGCCCAGCCCCAGGCACGCCGCCGCCAGGGCGATCTCCTTGACTGGCGATCGGCCATCGATGGGCGTGCCCGCCGGCTCGTCGTCGCCGATGGAGAATGTGTGATCGACGTAGGCCATGAGTGATCCCTGCTTCTCTCTCGTTGCCCTAATTCCAGGTCCTAGAGCATATTCGAAGGATATACTTTTACGGCACACTGCTTTTGACCAGTCAAATAAATAAGGGCAAAAGCATGCCTTAAAACTGATATTCTTATGGTAAAAGTGGTGCAAGGATACAATTTCAAATTTAAGGTTAAGAATATGAGCTGGACGAGGAGTTTGCCAAGGCGCTCGAGGTCGTGGATCACCTCAAGAACAAGGGCGAGAAGCTGCGATCTCCAGTGAGCATTTCGCCACACAGTCAAGGCTCACAGGAATTGGATCGTGTACACCAACACAAGGAGTTGCTGAAGAACTTTCACTATTCTGGTGATGAATTTGCTTGCGAGAAGGAGGCATACGAGCTCTTTGCGAGCGCGGCGGAGGAGGAGGGGCGGCCCCTTGGCCTGTATGCGTGGCGATGGCGCGCTCTTCACCGATGTCAACTACTTGGAGCAGCCGGGATGGCGCCACTGGCCTTTCTCGCATTGCTGCGAGGGGTAAAGCGAGTACTGGCATCGCGGACAAGGAAGCGAATTTACACGGCTTACGGCATAAACTCCTGAAACTCTATCATTTCAGCATTTGCCCAGTTCTGGGAAATACTCCAGGCCTACGAGTAGATGAAAGGTATACAGACGACAATCGTGGCATCGACTTCTATGATATTTGCGTACGAGACATCTATCCTGGATCAAGAAGCTTAATTTTTGTTTGATTCCATGCCGCAGAAAGATGTAATCTCATGGACTGCGCTCCTCGCTGCAAATGCCGGAAGACGGGACCTTGTGGAACTTGCAAGAATGATCTTCGCGGCCATGCCGCAGTGGAACTTGCTCTGCTGCACGACCATGATCCAGATGCTGGCTCAGGACCGAAGCTTGGATCAAGCACGCGATATCTTTGATCGATTGCCTGAAATGAACATCGTCGCCTGGACTGCAATGATCCAAGCCTACCTTCAAAGCTGCCAGTTCCACCAAGCGAAGCTCCTCTTCGATCAAATCCCATTCCTTCCCGATTCCACGCTCTCCACCTTGCTGATCTCTTCCCTCCCGCGAGACGCATCCATCGACGACGCCATCGCTATCTTCAACCGCAGCTCCCCGCGCGATGCAAGAACCTGGGAAGCGATTCTCTCGGCCTTTTCGCATCTTACTCTCGTCCAGGAAGCTGACAGCGTCTTCTGGATCATGCCACAGCACTCGACGATCGAGCCATATTGGTATGGAGAACAAATGGTGCCTAGAGGAGGCGGCATGCTCTCAAGGAGTGCGTCTCGGCGCGTTCCAACAGGCAGCGTCCCTCACCGGGAGAGTATCGAAGAGCGCTCGAGCTTGATCTAGAGTTCCTCGACTCCGACTATACGCCGAGATCATCGTCGTGGAGCTCACAACGTCGAAGGTGTTCTCTCGAAGGTGTTCTTGGCGGGCTCGACACTGTCACTGGCAACGTATCCTTGCAGAAGTCCGTTGTAGGAGACGACGTTCCTCTTGGCCATGGCATCGAAGACACTGCGTGCTTCGGTGTTATGCGTAGCACTGGAGGATGGTGGTTCAAGAGCAGGCTTCCCAGGCGGGCATTGCGTGAAAGATCTCGCGAGCGGCCTCCGGATCGTGGTCCTGAGAGAAGCAGTGGATCATCGTGTTGAAAGAGATGGCATCCCGGTGCTCCATTCGATCGAAGATGAGCTTGGAGCTCGCGGTATCGGTTTGAGCGAGGAGAATGATCGTGCAAGCAGCGATTCCACCACGCGCCCTCTGCTTGATTCCTCGTGCCCGCTGTAAACCTCTTATAAAGATATGCAGAGTTCGATGGAACTTTCACACATGACAACGAATACATTCGGCGGACTCGTCTCTCACAAAGTGGTCGCAGCAGTCCAACTGCGCTCCTCTCGGGCTTCCTCCTCATCACACAAAATCATGCAACTAGAAAGGAAATGTAGCAGCCAATGGAAAATAAACCTTTCAGACCAAAGATAGGCAAGATATCTTGATGCCTTTTTTATTTCACTTTTTACCTGTATAATTCATTTAATTAAGATTCTAATTTCCATATTAAAATTTAAATATGGCATAATATATGGTTATTTGTACCAGACGCCCATAATACGTTATTAGGAAACTTTGATTTATAAATAACTAAATTACAATCATTTTGGACTATAAAATATGTTGGCATAAAACATTCAAGTTTAGGGCTGCAATGTTTATTTGAAGACCACAATACTTCCTGCATATGTTTAAATACAAGATTCCCATTATTTTGTAATATTAAATTACAACTAAACAAATTTTTAGAAGAATAATTTTTTTCCCAAATTATTTTTTCCTTTGAATATAAAGTAAGCACACAATCTACTTTTAAAAACAATATATTTTTACCATTAGGAGAAACTAAAAAGCTATCACTATAAAGAATTGTATTAGAGTATAACACACTAAATCTTAGTTGGCAATAAATAATATCATCGACTAAACTTTTTCTATTTAAATATGCAGTTATAGAAATAGAATCATCTGTTTTGAGATTATATTTTAATATATATTTATACCCTTCCTTTTCAAAAGAATCTGCACATTCTCTGTTTATAATATCTGTACTTAAAGCTATTAAACTTTGGAAACCATTCAATATGTTTAAGCCTGAAATTGATGCATCTGTGTTTTCAACAGAACAATGATCTTTGCATTTAATAAATACTGAAACTATTCCTCTTGAAGTATCGACTTCAGCATCATCACCATAAGTTGTTGGATAACTTTCATCATATTTAATTTTTTCTAATAATTGATAAAAAGCTGTAATAATTTTACCAATATCATAAGGATTTAAATACCCACTCCTTCCAATAATAGGCTTTTTAGCAATAGATTCATTAAAGTGTAAACTTAACATAGTAGATATAACTAAAATGTATATTAATCTAACTTTATCCATTTTAAAAAATACTCATGTTTTAATGTTATATATATGTTATATATATATTGGTGGGACACATGAATTTCTCTCAATGAAGCTATACCAAACGTGCTTCAATAAAGATTCAGATAAACAAAATGATGATATGCCAATTGTGTCTATCTTTTTAGAAATGATTTTATACTTAGATAAATATTATTCTATTAAAACAATTTTATATATTATATTTTTCCTAGTGTATTTGATGTTTCAATAACAAATTAAGAACTTAATTTAACCAATAAATTCTAACTAAATAGCTAAAAATATTCTAAATTAATATATTTCTAATTTCAAATATTAAAATCCACTACTTGTTTTATAATTAATAATAAATATTTTTATAATGAATTTTTAATAAAAATTATATTTTAATTATAAAGGTTCTATTTAAAACAAATTATTAAAGCACAATTAAAATAAAACAAAATATATTAAAATGTTTTGCCTTTATATGGTAGTCATATGTGCCACTAGATATAACATTTTTTTGTTTGCTATAAGTAAATCTGTTATAGGTGGGATATTTGAGAATACTCTCAGTATATTCATTTGATACTTTGGATTATATGTATTAATAGAATCAATGGATTATATTAATTTGAAAGTGTTTAAGAAATTTAAATTTTTATAATTATAACTGTTGTGAGTGCATGGAATATGGAAAGGAAATACAAAAAATGTGCATATCAATTAGCCCAAAAACCCCAACTTATATACAAAAGCAACTGATCCAGTGTGAGATACAAAATCCCTAGGCCCCAAAGTGGAGCCAGAAGGGTGCCATGTGGTAATGGTAGAAGCGAAAACTAAACGAGCATAACACGTTTGGATTAAAAGCTCTGACTTGAAAGGTCGAGAGCGGGAGAAGAACTCCTAACGAAGTGCTCAAAGAACAAGCACAAAGCGAGCAATAAGCGAGGCTCCAAAAAAGGACCCAAAAGGACCAACACATGACATGTGAAAGTGTCTGAGATGGAGTCTGAGATGGATCCAAGATGGAGTCCGAGATGGAATTCGAGATGGACCTGAGATGGAGTCCGAGATGGACCCGAGTTGGAGTCCGAGATGGAGTCCAAGATGGAGTCTGAGATGGAGTTCGAGATGGACCCAAGTTGGAGTCCGAGATGGAGCTTGAGATGGACCGAGATGGAGTCCGAGATGGAGTCCGAGATGGACCCGAGATGGAGTCCGAGATGGACCCAAGATGGAGTCCAAGATGGAGTCCAAGATGGACCCGAGATGGAATCCGAGATGGAGTTCGAGAAGGACCCAAAATGGAGTCTGAGGTCGAGACCGAGACCGGGACCGAGACCGATACCAAGATCGGGACCGAGGCCGAGGCCGAGACCGAGCCTGAGTCCGAGTCCGAGTCCGAGTCCGAGTCTGAGTTTGAGAGGGTGAAAGCCCAAAGCGTTCGTCTCCCAGACCTTATGGGGTTTGGTGAGCTCCAAAAGTATAGTAAGGGGAGGACTATAGTGGAGCCCGTTTGGCCAGGAAAGGCTAGTTTGGCCCAGGAAAGCTGTACCTAGTGTTGGGTGATGAGCTGCCCACTGGGAAGTCCAAGACTAGAGTGAACACAGACCGACAAGCGGGGTAACTTGGTGAAGTGTTCAAGAGCCAGCTCTAGTTTCCCTGGGAGATCGACTGGCCGATGCTCCCAGCCCAAGTGTGGGTGGCACTACCTATTTGGATACCAGGCGTGGCTCAACGGAACCTCACTCTAAGCCCATGGCTAGAGCACCCAAAGGCAGAAGGCGGGGAGAGTACCCACGAGGCTCGTATAAGGCCACGGTGTTCCGAAATGTTGCCCCAAAGTCCCAGACAGTGAAAAGGAAGAGGAGTCATCCTATAGTGTAGAGACCAAGGATACGGTCATGTGAGGAGCAAGTCCCAGAGGACCGTGGGACTTAATGGTCAGGCTTGTGGGCCTTGATTTAGTGGCAGTGTTGGCGAACACGGCCATGGGCAGAAAGGGACTTGGTGGGGACCGGAAAGGGGATATTGGGGAAGGCTATTCCCCATGTCTATGGGCATCCTAAAGATGCTAAGGAGTGGATCTAGGATGATCACTCATGGACGGATGGCCCAGTTTTTGAGAGACAGGACTGTGATGTAGGTGGTGTCAGACCACCGATGTGACCAAGGTGAATGGGCACGGCCTTAGTGTAACGGGCCGATATGTCGGTGGTACCTTAGGGTGTCGGTCATGGGATCGGACATGTGGAGCACTTGGACCAAGTGCAAAGGTTGAGTGGCAGGGATGCCATTCTCGGGGCTAGCAAGCCCAAGTCCAAAATAGGACTTATGCAGGTTGTGAGTGAGATTCCTCTAAGTGGTCGGAAGTGTGGTTAAGTGACTAAAGTAGAATGGAAAAATTAGTCGCTTACATCCGGATTAAAACCAATCTAACGGCTACCAAAATCCCATTATGGTAATATTAGTATATGGCATCGTAGTCATACACTTGGATCTCACATCATTCCTTTAGACTATTAGAGTTCTTTTGTAGGTAGGCTGGGATCTGGAGGAACTTTAGGAGGAAGCATTGGCGAATCTATAGTAGTATCAATTGTTCCTAATCCCTTTATGAACCGTTTCAATTGATGCACATGCATAATTTCTGGAGGATTGGCATACTGGATGTCATGCCGAACCTCATAAACTTCTGGTCAAACTTGCCGCAACACTTAATACAGTCCTTTCCATTGAGCAAGGAGCCCCTTAGATAAACCACATACTATAAGATGGGGAAAACAGACTAACACCAAGTCATCCACTTTATACTCCGCGGGTGGACAATGATGAGAATTGTAGCATTGTTATTGTCCTAGTTATACACGGCCTAATTGTTTGGTAGACTTTGGTCGGATAAGTGGAAGAATGCTTATCAAATACTGATCCTACGTCTTAGCATCAATAGTTCGTGGCAATCACGAAAGTAAACCCAGTTCCGTTAGTAATATTGGATCATGACCATATAGGAATTTTTATGGTGAAGCACCAACAGAACTCTGCACCCTTATTGTTAAGACCCCGAACAAAATAAAGACTAAAAAATGCAAAAGACAAAGAGAAAAGCTAGTGGAAACAAAGAAAAGGCATTAGATTAACGTTGATTCAGATTGTGGAGAAATGGAACAAGATTAACCTATATATACTATAGGTTGATGAAGCTCCACCACTCTTGGATTGAGGACAGCCTAAATATAGCT